GACCACAAGCAACTTAGCAAGACCCTGTCTCAAAATAAAAAATAAGGGGCTGGCGTTATGGCTCAGCGGAGAACGCTCACCTAGCGTTTGAGAGGTCCTAGGTTCAATCCTGAGCACCACATAAAAATAAACAAACAAAATAAAGGTACTGAGTCCTAAAAAAATAAATATTTTTTAAAAATTAATACAAAAAACTAAAAAACAATGTTGGGGTTGTGGCTCAGTGACAGAGTGCTTGCCTAGCATGCGTGAGGCGCTGGGTTCAATCCCTGGTACATAAAAATAAACAAATAAAGGTATTGTGTCCATCTACAACTAAAAAAAATACTTTAAAATAAATAAATAAAAAGGGTTGGGGATGTGCACCTGGCTTCAATCCCTGGTACCAAATCAATAAATAATAAAAAAGGCTGAAGATATGTCTTAGTGTTTACGCCATATCCCTAGTGCAAAAAAAAAAGTAATTAAATAGATTTATCAAGTATCTTCTCACTGTTAAGAAAACTAATACTCCTCTTTGTAAATACTTGACTGAATATGTTTTCTACTTGAATTATAGTTGAGATAAAATACTTCTATCCTGGAGAAAATGTCTAAAACCCTAAATGTTAAGTAATGCGAGATACTACCATGCATTAGAAAATTTAGATTGGACTAGGGATGTAGCTGAGTGATTTGAGAGCTTGCCTAGCATGTGAAAAGCCCTGAGTTCAATCTCTAGTACCCAAAACACTGATTTTAGTTTTTCAACATGACAATCTTGCTATAAATCCTTCAATTTTGGAACAGAAACTTTTTTTTTTTTTTTTTAAACTGGGGACTGAAACCAGGGTCACTTTTACCACTGAGCTACATCCCCAGTCTTTTTTTTTGAGGCAGAATCTTGCTAAATTGCTGAGGCTGGTCTCCAACTCTTGATCCTCCAACCTCAGTCTCCCCATTCACTAGGATTTCAGACCACCAAGCTGGCAGAAGTCTATCATTAATAGGACATTTGGTTTCCCATTTGGTTATTTTAGTAATACAAACACGAGTTAAGTTTCAAGTCTATCTAAAGAAAAAAAGGGGAAAGGGACAACAAATAAGAAAAATATAGGGAGCAAAATATAACCTAAAAAATGTACCTTCCCCCTGAATGTTTACCCATTTCAAATAAAATCACTATTAATTACTGCTGATTTGGCATATGCAAAGATGTTGAATTTATGCTAAAGCATTTCCAGTTTTTTTAAATGAAATTGTTGTATTCTGACAGTGTTTGTTTTTCAGAGAATACTAAAGGGATCTGTATGTTCCTCTACTCTTTAACTCTATAAAATGCTGTACTTATTGTTGACAATTCCAATGAATGAGGAAAAATTTGTAGTGCATACATACAAATATATTTACAAATCAACAAAAAAACACGCATGTGTTTCTGGATAAATGATGAAATATTTATATTTGCATCCTCTACTATCACACAGTGTCTTCAATTCTTTCTATATTTTTATTTGCCTTTACTGCACTTGTTTCCATTAATTAGCAGAACTTCCTCAACTTACTAAAGAGCATTTGAGAATCGCTATTTTCTCTAATTCAAAACTGGAAGCAGTTTCTAATGGAACGCATTTTAGTGTATTATTTTTATTTATTTTTCTCAATACTGGGAATTAAACCCCATGAGTGCTCAATCACTGGGCTGCATTCGCCCCTTCTCTTTTTTTTGGTACTGGAGATTGAACCCACTTAACCCCTGAGCCACATTCCCACTCCTTTTTTTCTTTTCCTTTTTTTTTTAACATTTTTTTTTAGTTGTAGATGGACACAATATCTTTATTTTTATTTGTTTTTATGTGATGTTTTTACGAACCCAGGGTCTTACACATGGGAGGCAAGCGCTCTACCACTGAGCCACAGTCCCAGCCCTCCTTTTTATTTTTCTAGACAGGGTTTCACTAAGTTGCTGAGGCTGGCTTTGAACTCAAGATCCTCCTGCTTCAGCCTCCCAAATTGCTAGGATTATAGGCATGCACTCTCTCCTGAGCCACAACACCACCCCCAACTTCATTATATATTCAAAAGTCCCATAATAGTAAAAATTCTTTTAATAGCCTTAAAAAAATACTCTCACAAAAAAACATGTTCTAAGAATACTTGTTAAACTTCCTTTAAAAACTATGCTGTTGTTGCTGGGCACAGTGGAGCACACCTGTAATCCCAGTGGCTTGGAAGGCTAAGATAGGAGAGGAGGCACTAAGCAACTCAGTGAGACCCTGCCTCTAAACAAAGTATAAAACCTGACTGGGCATGTGGCTCAGCTTGCCCTGAGCTCAATCCCTGCTACCCCCATCATCAAAAAAAAAAGGGAAAAAAAACTATGCTATTGGGGCTGGTGTTGTGGCTCGGGGAGAGTGCTTGCCTAGCACACATGTGAGGCACTAGGTTCAATCCTCAGCACCACCTAAAAATAAATAAAGGTATTGTGTCCATCTACAATTAAGAAAAAAAAAAACTATGCTGTTAACTGGGCACAGTGGTGCATGCCTATAATCCCAACATGAGAGGTTGAGACTGGAGGATTGCAAGTTTGAGGACAGCCTCTTCAACTTAGTCTCTATGCAACTGAGTCTCAAAATGAAAACTCAAAAAAAAAAAAAAAAAAAGGTGGGGATGTAGCTCATTGGGAAAGTGTCCCTGAGTTCAATTGCCAGTACCAAAAAAAAATCTATACATGATAATTTACAAATGGCACACTAAAGACTTATGCATCTTGTGATATATAAATTTTACCCTTCACCCCTCCAAAAAACACTGGGTTCTAGGAAATGGCATACATGCTGAAGTCTTTAGAATGAAGTGTACTGATGCATGCAACTTACTTTAAGATGAATCAAAAGATGGACTGATGAAGAGATCAATAGGTATGTGGTAAAATATATGGCAAATATTAAGTGTAGACTCTAGGTGTTATATAATATACAGGTGTTCATTATAATTTTTTTTTTTTTTTTTTGGTAGCAGAGATTGAACTCAGGGGTACTCCACCACTGAGCCACATCCCCAGTGCTATTTTGTATTTTATTTAGAGACTGCGTCTCTCACTGAGTTGCTTAGTGCCTCCCAGTTGCCAAGGCTAGCTTTGAACTTGAGTTTCTCCCGTCTCAGCCTCCCAAGCTGCTGGGTTACAGGCGTTCACCACAACACTAGACCACTATAATTCTTTTAACCTGTGTTTTAATTTTATTATTATTATTTTTTTAAACAGTAAGCTGGGAACAGCATTGAACTCCTGTAATTTCAGCAACTAGGGAGACTGAGAACGGAGGATCACAGGTTTAAGGCCAGCCTAGGCAATTCAGCAAGCTCCTGTCTCAAAAAATAAATAAATAAAGGACTAAGGAATGTAGCTCAGTAGTTAAGTGCCCATGGGTTCAATCACCAGGGCCTTCCCCCGACAAAATAATAATAAATTGAGATGAAAATATTAAGAAACTTCAACCCTTGACAGTTAGGGACTCTGCAATTTGATGAATTCATACTAGTTTCTGAATAATTATAACTTTAAGTCACCAAAAATTACATTGACATACAAAACACTGCATGAATTTTTTAAATTAGTGTAATTTCTTTACTAGCATTCAATGACATTATCCTCATTCACAGAATTTACTGAGTGGTACAATGTATGATATGCACTTCATATTAATTAATTTAATCCTCACAACAACTCTAGAAGTAGATAATTATTATCTCTATTTTATTCATGGAGAAATTAAATCGTTTTCCAAAGGTCACAAAGGAGCATTAGGATTCCACTCAGTTTCAATAAAAGCTACATTTTTCTTTTGTAGACACAGATGAGTCCTCAAATATATAAGGTATATTTCATTGCCTAGGAACCGAAACAGTTTTCCACAGATAATACACTCTAAGGCTGAAATTTCTAATATGCCTTTCTCACAAAAATATTGTGAAGACATTATTACCATGTTTTTAGAGAAAGATTTTGAAAACTGTCAGTGGTCACAAGGTACCATTTAGTAAAGTTGTAAAGAAAACCAAATTGGGCTGGCCATGGTGGCACATGCCTGTAATCCCAAACTTGGAAGGCTGAGGCAGGAGGATGGAGAGTTCAAAGCCAGCCTCAGCAATTCAGCGAGGCCCTAAGCAACTTAGTGAGACCCTTTCTCAAAATAAAAAATAAAATGGGGGGGCTGGAGTTGTAGCTTAGCAGTAGAACACATGCCTCATTCGTGTGAGGCACTGGGTTCTATTCCTAGCACCACATATAAATAAAGGTCTATGAACAACTAAAAAATATGTTTTAAAAAATAAAGAAATAATAAAATGGGCTGGAGATGTTGCTCAGTGACTAAGTGCCCCTGGATTCAATTCCTGGTATCAGAGAGAGAGAGAGAGAGAGAAATTTTCCTAGGGACCAATTACTTCTAGGCTATTTAATGTCAAAAAGAAAACCACCTAATCAGGTGAATTTCCTCTCAAACATCCATTAAAAGATAGAACTCTGCCTGTCAATTAGGCAATGAATAAACTTACAGGTTTGGAGACTCAGTTTATAGCACAAATGGTAGGATGACCTAAGCGAATAGCCTCAAGAGAACACAAATGAAAAGTTATAATCACTCAAGTCTCTAGTCAGGTCCAAGAAAGTGTAAGTACTAACACCAAGGGGATTTTTTAAAAACTTGAGGCAAAGCAACAGAAATAGGATCTAAAATTAACAATGCTCTGCACTCACCAGACAAAAGCCCATTTCTCTCACACAGAAGCATACAACTGAAGATCCCACTACTGGAAGTACCTACCTTTAAAAGCTGCAGGCATGTGAAATCTTTACTTCTCAAATTCTGGAGTAAAGGGAGACCAGACTTATCTACTTCAATGGCAAAGTGTCCTAATCAAGCACAAACACTGGGGACTTCAACAAAAAGTTATCATGACTAATTGCCAGTTCCTCACAACCCACCCTACCTCTGGAAGGACTGTTAGACAAAAGCTCACCTGGGGAGCGGACTTCGACTGAGAGACCGCTTGCTCATGAAAGGGCTGCTGGAGCGCCTTCGACCATAGGGACTGGGTGATCTCCCGCTGTAAGAGCCACTCCTTTCATAGCTGGACGACCGTCTCCGGCTATAAGGACTCACAGACCTCTGTCGTCTACTGTAGGGGCTGGGTGACCGGGTACCGGACTGATAGGCAGAAGGCTCCTTGTAAGGTGGGCTGATGGACTGCCTTCTTGAGGTACTTCCAGGACTCTTCTTGTAGGAGTCATAATTGCTAGAGGTATGAGATCTCGGAGGACTAACGTCATAATCTTGGCCATAAGAAGCTCCTGAGGGGCTGTCATCTTGTTTGGAGCTGTCAGACCACTTCCTGTGGGGACTCCTGGATCTCCGTTTGGGGCTGTCCACTGTTTTGTAACTTTTGGGTGTTTCCCTTTTCCGATGACTTTTACTCCGATCTTTGTGTCCAGACTTTAGCTCACGTTCTTTCCGGGTCTTTTCCTTATGGAGTTTGGATGACCTGGATTCCTTGCTGCTGCTCTTGGATATCTGTGCCTTACCATAGTCATCGTTCTCCTCATTTGAACGCTTTGAACTTCCTGATACTCGGTCTTTCATCGATCCCGACTTGCTGGAGACTTCCTGGTTTTTTTCTTTTTCGGTCTGTTTAGTTTTTAGTAAGTCCCGGGAACGCCTGTGCTGGTGGTGACGATGTTTATGCAGGCGGTCACTCCGATCCGTTCCACGACGTTCATCATTCTCCCTCCTATCTAATTTGAAGGCCATGTCGTCAGAGAAGGTGTCTGAATCAGAGCTGATGTCATCATACTCCACCAAAGGTTTGATAACTGTACCCAAGGATGCTTCGGGGGTCACCAACCCCATGTCTTTGGAGTGCTTGGACTTATGCCTCTTGTGCTTCGACACCAATCGGTGACGCTCTCTGCTGTTGGAGCTGCCACCTCCCGATGACGGCTGCAAAGTTCCAGAAGCTCCTCCACTCCCGTCCTTCTTGCCCCCATGTCTCTCTGAATTGGGCATTCCCTTTCCCCTGGCCTTAAGAAGGGGAAAAAGTTCCCCAGCACTCCAAGAAGTAACCCCCACCCACCCCCCCACCCTAAATCCACGCCCACCAAAGTGCCCCTAGAAGGTGGTGGGGAGGGAAGGGACGGTAGGCCAGGCTCCTCCTCCCTCCCGATTCCTCAGCACCCTCCTACATGAGGTGGGGGGTGAAGGAGCGAGGGAAGAAATGAGAGTTCCTCAGCAGTGGAGTTGCGAGACAACGAATAGCTCCTTAAGTCTGCAACCCCCAACCCCGCGGAACCAGTCCTCAGGCCTCCGCGCCGGGAGGTGGAGGAAGTAGGTAGCCGACGGCCCGGGGATGTGGGGCCGACTCGGGCTCTGGGGCCCTGTGAAGACTGCGCGGGCCCTTCCCCTACCCGGTAGCCCGGCTCAGGGCGGCTTCCTGTCGCCGGGGTCCCGCGAACTAGGTACCTCACGCCCCCTTTGTCCCTCTTTCCTGAGGGAAGCCCCTTTTCTAGCCTTCGCCTCGCCTCAATACCTCACACACTCGCTCCCTCACACAGATCTCAGTCACACACTAGATTAAACCGAAACGGCACTTGGGGGAGGGGGGAGGGGCAATTGCAGGAAATACCGCGAGAGCACAGCTCTCGCGATACTTCTAGCTTCCTTCTCGCCTCTCCCCACTACTCGATCTAACAACGCGAGAACAGGAACCTAAACGAGAAAAGCGTCCCGCAGATTCTCGCGATAAGCTTCCACCTTTTTATTTGAGGAAAGCTTTACAGAAACAGCTAGCAAAAAAATACGTATAAACGTGAGCCGTACTGGTAACTCATTGAGCCGATATCCCCAGGTTCCGGTGCAAAAGCATTTTACGGTACTTTTAAGCAAGCCTTTTAGCTACCATGATAAAAATGTTTTTAACAGGGTAAAGGGCGAACGTGGTGACATTTCAAGTCCCTGAGTATTTAAAAAGCTTCGCACTTTTTTTTAATATTTATTTTTTAGATGGACACAATATCATTATTTATTTTTATGTGCTGAGGATCGAACCCAGGGCCTCGCAAGTGCTAGGAGAGCGCTCTACCGCTGAGCCACAACCCACGCCCCCCCCCCCCCCCCGCACTTTTATTTTTAATTAGTTTTTTGTTGTTGTTTTCTTGGTTTTGTTTTGCGGAACAGGGATTGAACCCAGAAGGGCTTTACTGCTGAGCAACATCCCATTCCTATTTATTTATTTATTCTGTTTGTGATATTGGGAATTTAACCCAGGGGTGCTTTACCACTAAGCCACTTCCGAGTCCTCATTATTTTTCTTTCTCAATTTTACTTGTGGTGCTGGGGATTGTACCCAAGGCCTTGTGCATTCGAGGCACGCACTCTACCAACTGAGGTATATCCCCAGCCCCACCCTCATTAATTTTTACTGTGGGAGAGTGGGCTTTGAACTTATGATTCCCCCTTCTTCAGCCTCCCGGTGTAGCTGGGATTCCTAGTGTGCACCACCACTCCTGGCTAAGCCATTTTATTTTGAGATAGTATTTTACCAAATTGCTGAGGATCTTGCTAAATTGCTGAGACTGGCTTTGAATGAGTTATCCTTCTGCCTCACCCTCCAGAGTGGCCCCCCCAGACTTAGCCTGTAACTTTCCATCCTTCTAACTTGGCCTCCTGAAGCCTCCTGGGTCACTAGGATTAGGGGCGATCACTACCGCACCTGACTTGTTTCCCATATTTATAGTGTAAGCTACATGCCAAGCATTTTACTTATGTTATCTCTAATACTCACAGCTACCCTGCAGGACATGATATCCTCATGACTGTTTTATAGATAATGCAATTCCATATTCAGAGAAGTTAAATAATTGAGGGTAACACAGGTAGTCCACCGAGTGCTGCAACCAAGAATCAAACATGTATCTCTGATACTAAAGCACAAACTCTTCCATCATGAGGCACTACCTCTCTGCCCTCTTCAAATCTAAAAGCCTTAAAGTTCCTCTGTTTTTGCGATAGTCCCAAGGCTCTTACGGATAATTTAGCTTTTTAACCTCACGCAAAATATTGTAACTATTAACAAGAAAAGAAAATGCCTTATACTGGTCTCTAAGTTTTCAAAACCTCAAACATGCATTAGCCCATTCCTTCTTTGCAACGCTGACATGGGACTGTGTAGGAGAAAACAAAGACACAGAGAGGTAACATGACCCAAGCTTCTTCATTCTTTCCTTCAACAAATTTATATGTGAGGATCCGGGGATATAGCCCCAGTGGTAAATGCGCATCTACCATACCTGAAGCCCTGGGTTCAATCACCAGCACCAAATAAATAATCAGGTTGTGATGGCACACAGCATGTAATCCCAGCAGCATGGGAGGCTGAGGCAGGAGGATCACAAGTTTGAAGTCAGTCTCAGTAACCTAGCAAGATCCTGTCTCAAAAAATAAAAAGGGCTGGGGCTGGAGCTGGGGCTCAGCAGTAGCGCAATTGCCTGGCATGTATGAGGCACTGGGTTCGATTCTCAGCACAACAGCACCACATATAAATAAGTAAGATAAAGGTCTATCAATAACTAAAAGATAGAAAAAATAAAAAGGGCTTGGGATGTGGCTCAGTAGTTAAGGGCCCTTGGGTTCAATCCCTGTTGCCAAATAAATAAATATTGAATTTATTAAATTTCAAAACCCTTCTACTTGTAATAGTACCCATTTAAATAGGCTTTCAAGTAGAATATAGGCAGCATATTGTACTATAAGTTATAAGGTAATAAATGTCATAAGAATGACATGGAGTTGGGCCTGGGGTTGTAGCTTAGTAGTAGAGCAATTGCCTAGCATGTGTTGAGACACTGGGTTGGATTCTCAGCATCCCATACAAAAAAATAAATAAATAACATTAAGGTTTGTTGACAACACAAAAATAAAGAAAAAAAAAAAAAGAGAGAGAGAGAGAATGACACGGAGTACTGAATGCTCAGAAGTGACTAGGAGAGAAAGCTTTTCGGGGCTGGGAGTATAGTTCAGTGGTAGAGCCTAACATGCTGGAGGCTCTGGGTTCTATCCCCAGCAATATAAATAAATAAATAAAGGGCCGGGGTTGAGGCTCAGTGATAGAGCACTTGCTGAGCATGTGTGAGGCACTGGGTTCCATCTTGGCACCACATAAAAATAAACTAAGGTATTGTGTCCAGCTACAACTAAAATAAATAAATAAATGAAAATTAGGGGCAATTTATTTTGTTGTTTTGTTTGGGGTAGCAGGAATTGAACTCAGGAGTACTTGACCACTGAGCAACATTCACAGCCCTATTTTGTATTTTATTTAGAGACAGGGTCTTACTGAATTGCTTAGAGCCTATCTTTTGCTGAGGCTGGCTTTAAACTCGTGATCCACCTGTGTCAACCTCCTGAGCTGCTGGGATTACAGGCATGTGCCATTGCACTTGGCTACTAGGGGCAATTTGTGCAGGCAATCCCAATAACTAGGAGGGAAGGGAACCCTGAGGAAGGCTGAGGCAGGAGGATAGCAAATTCAGTGCCAGCTTCAGCAACTTAGAGGGAAACTGTCTCCCCCCCCCCAAAAAAAAAGACCGGGGTATGAAAGGAAAATGAGAAACAAAAGACAAGAAATGAAAGACAGAGACCAGGCAACCAGGCAGAGAAGAGATAACAGGAGAGTTTATTTGTCAGAGCTGACAAAGGCACATCTTTCCATAGAGGAAGACAGGCAAAATAGGCTTGGGTTCCACAACTCTTATAGGGCAGGCTCAGCTTGGCAGGTCCTAATGCAGGTGCTTAAGGGTAGGGTTGGGATGTGGAAGTGATGATCCTTCTCAGAAATGCCCTTGGGCAGTGAAGGTTTGGGTTTGTGTGAGGGAGTGGGGTGAACCTTTCTCAAAAAGGCCCTTGGGCAGGAAAGCGAAACTTTTTATTAAACATGGAGGCTGTCACTTAAGATGGCCTTCCAGATGCTAAGCAAGGACCTTACAGGGTTGTAGCTTCCTGGTCAAGTGCCCCTAGGTTCAATCTTGATTACCAAAAAAAAAATTTTTTTATATACTATATTTTTTACTTATGTGTTATTTTTAGTTATATGTGACAGTAGAGTTTATTTATACACTTATATATTTAAATATATTATTTATACAAACATGGAGTATGTTTTATTCTAATTAGGATCCCAGCTTTGTGGATGTACAGGATATTGAGATTCACTAGGGGTATATTCGTATATGTACATAAGAAAGTTATGTTAGATTCATCCCACTGTCTTTCTTATCCCTATCCCTCCTCCCTTCCCTTCATTCCCCTTTGTCTAATCTATTGAACTTCTGTTCTTCCTCTCCCCCCTTGTGTATTAGCATTCACATATCTTGCAGAATATAAAACCTACCAAAAATAAACTAATTAAAAAAATTTAAAAGGAGGGGCATTTTAATGGGACCAGGAAGAGTGATTAGATTTTTATTTTCACTGTGTCTCCATCCCAACTACCATAAACTGAGCAATTCTCCTCTACCATGCCCTCTGCCATGATGTTCTGCCTCACCTCAAGCCCAGAGCAATGCAGTCAGCTGATGATGAACAAAAAGACTAAAACCTCTGATACCATGAGCCCCAAATAAACCTTCTATAAAAACAAAAAAGAAAATCAGTAAGCCAGAGACCAGAAAAATATTCTGAATAAAGGTAAAATCCATTCTCAAATCACTGCCTAAAATGTTCTTGTATAAAATGTTCTGGTATTAAAAAAAAAAAATTTAAATCTAAATGTTTGAAAAATAAATAACGTTTGAGTCCATAAATTTTGATTGTAATTTTTTTGTTGTTATTGGTACTGGCAACTGAATCCAAGGGCACTTAACCACTGAACAACATCCCCTTTTTATTTTTTTATTTTTGAAATAGACTCTTGCTAAATTGCTGAGGCTGGCCTTGAACTTGGGATCCACTGGCCTCCAGCTTTGGCCTCCTGATCTCTGGGATTACTGGCATGTACTATCATGCCCAGCATTTGGTTGTAAATTTAGAAGATTAGTTTTCATGATCTCTTTTCTTTTTTGCCATGCTGAGGGTGAATCTAGGGTCTTGACCATGCTAGGCAAGTGCTCCAATTCTCACTTTTTAATCTTCTATGGAATTAAAATAAATGCTAACAAATAAAAAGAATGGGGGTGGGGGTATATCTCAGTTGGTAAAGTACTTGTCTCCCAAGCTCAAGGCCCTGGGTTCAATCCCCAGCACACACACAAAGAGAGAGAGAGAGAGAGAGAGAGAGAGAGAGAGAGAGAGAGATTGGGAAAAGAAGGATAAAATTAAGAATGAGGTACTCGAACTCACATATGATAACTACTTATTCACTGCAGGAGAGCCTGGATATAAAGGTCCTCACCAATGGTTTGATTCTTTGTTTTTATTTTTGTGGTAGTGGGGACTTTACCACTGAGGGGATATCCCCAGCGCTCTTAATCCTGACACAGAATCTTAATAAATTGCCAGTCAAGCTTTATCGGATTACAAGTGTATATCACCATGTCTAGATGTATTTTATATTTTTAACATCCCCC